TCTCTCTCTCCTAACCAATAATTAGAATAGTTGCCAATTATTCTCATAATCGATTATTATCGATTTAATTGATTCGTTGTTGCAGCCCTAGCTGCCACATAGCTTTTGCCTCCCTTATGACGTCTCATTGGCCCAGCACTGCCACATGGAATGAGTCATATGTTTCTTTATACATGATGGTCAACTTGAAAATTATAGAGGTCCTGAAGTGCTGCCCCAGACATCGAGAGCACTGCACAATAGCATGGTCAGTGGCAGTGCTATTTAACATCTCCCCATTGGTGGCCAGGGGCAGTGCTATTTAACATCTCCCTATTGGTGGTCATTGGCAGTGCTATGTAACATCCCCCACTGGTGGTCAGTGGCAGTGAAATTTAAAATGTAACCCCCAGCACTGGTGTTCACTTACATGATAACACATTCCTGCACCTCACTCCGCCTGACAGCACAGTCTTTACTTTAGTGCTAGGTGCTGGAATACAGAGAGCATTTCAATGTGTGGCACGCCGCTGTTGCTCAGCTCTCCTTTGGTGCCCAACAAGTGGCAGACCAAGCCGAGCACACGGCGGACCGCACACAGAGGGCAAGGCCACATAATGGGCACCATGGCTCCTTACCATATCTTCCAACTTTATGAGATGAGAGAGATGGACACCTCTTAACACCAGATATGTAGGCAAAGGACACACTTTCGCTACACCACCGGTTGCTTAAACCATGATGATTATTCTGAAAACAAATTGTCTAAGCCCACTTTTTTCACCACTTCCTTTCCTCTATACTGGTTTTTCAAATAACACATGCAGTAATTTAGAGGCCGGAGAAAAGGTTTTAGTGTAACACTTTGGTAGTTAACTAGTGCAATATAGAAGTCTATGCATCAGGCAGTGGAACAGTGGAAAAAGAGGGACGGGTCTTCCAAAAAAGCTACTGTGGGGAGCTATGTTTTGTACCTGGAAGTGCATAGGGATCCTGGCACTGAATTGAGTGGAGGTAAGGTGAAGGAAATGAGTATATGTGCTGCTGGTAAGGATGAGAGGATTAGCGCTGAATGTGCAAAGCACAAGTTTTACTTTGAAGTGTATCTAAACCCAAACACAAATATACGAATGTAATATAATGCAGCTTACTAGTCCTTATATGTGGTGGTTGCATTAGTTTTCTTTTTTCAGGGTTTTTTTTTCCTTTATATTTTCACCTGGTAATCCTGCAAATAGCACACTTCCTGTCCCTTTTTGTGTACGCTTTTTTCCCTACTGTATCTATGGAGTGGAATAGTAGTTTAGACAATAAAGATAAGCTTCTTAGTGCTTTTGTTTTACTCTCACAGAATGTGACAAGTCACACTTGTAAATGAGTCTCAGACTGTTTGCATCAGGTGTGATTGCTGCATGTAATAGCAGTATGTGCGATTTACATGTGAACGGCCTGCAAACAGCTGGCCCTTAGATGCACCCACATAGTTATAGTCCTCTTCGTTATACTGAAGAGACTAGCCCCGAAACCCAGTATCGATCGATATGTAAATCACACATTGACTCAATTTCAGAGCTGCAAGCTCTTTGCTGACTGAGCAACAGCATGTGTTGGTCATGATATGGCACTATGCAGCTAAAGCAATGTCACCCATATGACAGATCTTGGCGGGCTAGCACAGTACCGTGTGTTGTGGTGTCCTACATCTGACAAAATTGTGCATGTTTATATAGTGGTCAATTTTGGTGCATTAACAGCCCAAGCAAATAAATTGGCTGCCTTCATTTAACACACATTAAAACGTAACCTAACCCCTTTGTGTTTATGCTCCACAATAGACCACATAGAAGACCATAAATGCTATACTTCAATAAAAAAAAAACACAGGATTTCGGGGGACTTTAGTGATTCCTGTTGTTTTGGATATAATTGATATGTAAGTAAATGTGAAAGCTTGGCCTATTGGGACAGGAAATAAGAGCATAACCACAGCAGCTAGAGGGTTAAAGGGCAACCCCCAAGACAGTATATAAAAGGCACACTTAAAGTCTCTTCTGTCTTTTTTCAAAGTCTTGAGGTTAAATATGCTTCATATATTTTAGTCACATGATAGGAAATAGCTAAACTCTATCTCTAAAGGAAGTAAAGAATAAATAGAAGCTACTGGCATAGAGAGGAACCTTGTGATCTTCATAAAGTGATAGAAGGAAATGTTAAAAACGTTGCTATTGTGTTAAGATGTTGTATACTTTATGATACTATAAAAGCTTTAATGTAGCATAAATTTAAGTTGTTTTTTTGTTCAATATGTAAAGTAGCTCAAAGCCTTGGAGAGACTCTCAAGTTGTCCATTAAGGGAAAGTTCCAGGTTCTCTTGAAAGAACAACCCCAGTCTACTTATACTGACCATTCCTCCATCCTAGACTGGAGTCCAAACACTGTAAAAGCTCCTTATCAGATGGTGTCCGAGCTTCCACAGGGACAATGTGTTCTTTCCTACCATAATTAAATACTGTTTGGTCCTGGTCATTGACTTGCTTGGGACCAAATTCTGCATCCGGGTAGCTCACATGCTCCCCACACCTTGAAGTACCAGTTATTTACTAAGTGCTTCGACAAAGAGCAAGGTAGCATGGCGAAGGTGAGTGTTAAAAAAAGTGACACTAAATCCAGGAGTTACATTTTAAAAATGCATTCAAGTATCTTAACTATTAACAATTAACTATGTAAGTGAGATTGTAGTCCATCACACGATCGAGCTTGGAGTGGTGACTACTTTACAGCACACACAGGGACCATGGGGAACAAAAGTAGCCACCCTCCAGAAGGAAGGACAGTGTCAGCACAAATTCAGAGATGATTTGAGGATCTTCAGCTGAGTAATGCACAAAATAAGGTCCAGGATTGTGACTAGCTCAGATACTTGAATGCATTTTTAAGATTGTATTCCTGAGTTTAGTGTCACTTTAAAAGAGAACCTAGTCTGGAATGGCAAAGATCTACCCATCCTCAGTCACTACCTTTAGCCAGCTGATTGTTCATGTATTTGCCTGTGCAGAGCAAGGACAGAGGAGGAGGGAGGTGTTGGCATATGCCACAGCCACAATTTATCTCACTGTTGTTTAATGCCTGTGGGCATAATAGGGTTCTGTTCACACACTTTTTTAGCTACAAGTACTTCCATCGAGGTGGCTGCAAATACTATAAATCTAAATCCTTATGTATTCCTAGGTAGCCCTCCTGTTCCTGGGCACGGTATATAACTTGTGTCTCAGTTTTGGAGCTAGGCCCAATCCCCCACTATCCTGTGACCTTGTAATATAGTATTTTGGGTGTTGAGCTGATATCATTGGACAGTGGGATGGTGAGGAATTGCTAAATTAATGCATATTGAACTGTATATTCAGGTAAAGAATGTTCTATGCTAATCAGGTAAAGTGGGAGAGTTGCTAACATGCTGGTCCACAGAGAGCGTGGAGTCACCGCCCTGAAAATAGCATGGGGCCGACTCAGAAGTTGGCCTGACTTACACAGAGCAAGCCAGAACTTTTCAGCCCTAGTCCTGAACACAGAGGAGCAGGAATAGAGATTGTTCTATACTACACATAGTGTTCTGTACAAGTGTCTGACAGGTGCTCTTAATTGCTTGAAGCTGCTTTCTTTCAGTCTGGTATACTGACTGCTGTATAATGCATTTCAATTTTTGTCTCCTAGGCCTCGGGTTCTAAGGAAAAAAAGAGGAAGATCAGAAATAAACTTGTATAATCTGGATATCGCATTTCATTACACAGCTGTCAAAATAATTCTTCAGATTTCAGATTATGTCATAACAGACTCATACTCACTCACATTAAGGTATAGTGTACTTTCGCTGATAAATCTTGCTTTAAAGCAAGCGTATATGGAGATAAAATGCATTGATCTAACCTTGTCTATTGATGGAAGACATCATCAATGCCTGCAGATAACAGTAACTCTCTTTCTATATCACATTACCAACACAATAAGCAGGTATAAAGTGCATCTCTCAGGGGTCCCTGCACATACCTGCAACCATTGTCGGTGCCCAATCTGCCCTTATACTGCACCCACCCGTTGCAGACTCCCATAGATACCTATTGGCCACTGAGGCACCCCATTAAAATTATGGGCCAGTTGGAATGTATGGGGAGTGAGAGGGAGCAGGCAAGCTCTAATGCTAGCAGGAATAGTGGAGTTTTGCCTGCTTAAAGCCACTCAGCATTTGGGTAGAGCTGAAGCACTGAAAGCTGCTGCAGGTACATGGTACCTGCACTTTAAACCTTTTTTTGTTATAGTAACAGAGTCACTTACTTATGTTCCTGCACCCCAAGAACCCCCAAATCTTTACATGTCCTTATAAATTCCATTGAACACATCACAAAATGCAATGTGGCTATAAGGGCAACTAGTTGCTAGGATGCAATGTTCATCTATTGTCTAAAAAGTCATACTTTGCTGAGGCTCCATTCTCCTGCCGGCTAGCTTCCGCAGGCGACAGGTGGCTATAAGTAGCTGGGAGCAATAGCCAGACTGCTATTGGCTATTTTAATTTGAAATAGCCAATAGCAGACTGGCTGTTGAAACACCACATACTGAGCACAGAGGAGCGGACGTGAGAGAGAAAGTTGTCTCTCAGTTCCGCTCCTCTACTAAGTGGGTGGGTATCGGCCCTGTGCACCGGAACCGGAAGTTCAATTCACAGAAATGCCCTGGTTGTCATCAGGACAGGGAGCGGAATAAAAAAAATCAGTCCAATAAATACACTGACAGCAGTAATAACCCAACAGAACTTCTAATGCTTTCCTACTGTATCCAAAACTAAAATGAATGTTTTATCTTCTTCAGAAAAATGTGTTTTCATTTTGCAGATGGAGCATCGTTCAAAAATAATTTTGCCCATGTTCTGTTCTCCACACTATGAAGATGCCACGCTTTGCCTGTCTGAAGATTCTCTCTATTTATAACTGCAAGGAGCCCTACATCCAGATAAATGGGCACGCTCAATACTTGACTGCACTCTTTATTACCATTTATATATCTCTCAGGGACGTTCTCCTATATGGGCTCTGTTGCCACCAAGTCAGGGAAGTCCGGTCACCATGGAAGATCAGCAGATCTACAAGACACACCTTGCATCCAACAGCAGCGATAGTTTGTATTATCAACAAATGCAACATCAGTCCAGCACCCAGGTGCTCCACCACAGCTATGACTCCATAGATATGAATGCCTCGGAGTCATCCTCTTCCTCCCCCCACTTATCTCAGGACTCCAGAGATGTCACTTCAGGAGCTCAGGTGGAAGTGTCTAGGCCATCTCTGTGGACAAACGCTGGGTCTGGTAATCACAGTCGGGCCCAGAGTAGCTTGAATTGCTTTGAACAAAGCTTGCAGTGGAATCCACAAAATAACGTAGGTGATGGATATCAGGTCTCCTACTATCCACAGCACGACAATCACCCTAAAACGACCAGCGGGGCCTTACACAAACTGGACTCTTTCACGCAAGTTTTTGCACGGCAGAACTTAAGAATTCATGCCATGTCTCAGGGTTTACCCCAGCCATCGCCACTGCTGGATGCTGACAGCACTCTCAGGCAGCTGTTGTCGCACAAGTCGTCTGGCGAGGAGCCGACGCAACCTACCAGCCTTGATAGGTACTCTCAGGTCTCACAGCAGATGCACCAGGGCTTGGCAAACCAGCCGCAGAAGCATTCGCTGCAACAGATCCAGTCGCATTTTTATTACGAGTATTTGCAGCCCCCCTCTCAGGCACCGGCACAGGCTTTAATGCAGCAGCAGCAGCATCAGTTCGGGCAACAGGTGCAATCCCAAGAGGTACTACAGCAGCACCCGCAGGAAACCCAGCAGATGCAGTATTACATGCAGCAGCATCCAGGAAGGCAGCAGAGGCCTTTAACGCAAGATATCCAGCCACGGCAGTTTTCTGGTCAGATGTCTCAGTATTACCCTATACAGTCTGCAGAAATACATCACAACATACAACAGCCTCAGCAACATCACATGCAGCTCCAGCAGCAGTCATATAATGCAGATTGTACAGCAAAGGCTGATGATTACCAGCAGGACCACTCCCAGAGCATGCAGCTGATTCAGCTAGGCTCAGTGCCACAATATGTGTATCAGAGCTCTCAGACGCTTCGGCATCCTTACAAACAGAACTTGACGTCGCAGCGGCATTTACAACAGGAGGTCAGCTCACAGAAGCAATATAACATAGACAATCGGCAAACAGTTGTCATGGATAGTCCAGTGGGACTGCCCAGTGCAGACCAGTTAGATAACAACTACAACCAGGAGGCTCTGGGGATTTTAGCCAACACTAATCAGCAGCAAGTCTTACCTGCGGACAACCCTTACATGATTGGAAACCAAGGTCTACACCACTCTCCTAACACAGCTTGGCCACAGGTACTGTGAGATGTCTATGAATTATGTTTTTAATCTCAATGGAGACCTGGCCCATTTAGACCCACGGGTCAAGGGTAGCTGAGCAGCCTACACATAGGTTTGCACACACAAAGGGATAGGATAAGAATCAGGGATGGCACTGGTGAATGATCATGAGTTAGTATTGACTTTAATTAGAGCAAGAGGTGCAGCAATAACCTTTAGGCATCTCTCAGTACTGAGGGCAGTGCCTGCATGGGAACCACTTTCCAACTTAACCAAAATAGATTTTCAGACTTCGCTTGCATGGTCCATGCAACCTAGAGCTATCGTTCATAATTTAGTGGCAATTTTGTTTAAAGTCTATATTCGCAATATATTTCTAGAAAAGCAAAAATGTAGGTGATATATCGTATAGTTGTTATATATTTTAAGGGCGCAAGCTTTCGAAAAAACTCACAACCCCATTTATAATGGAGGGTGTATATGGCTATCCAATCTCCATTATACTCCACAGCCCAGTACTTTACAGCACATTCATAAAATTCCAAGCCTTTGAGCCTGCAGTGTGTTACATGGTTTTCTTTGCTTAACACACAAGAGAACTCCATGATTGGAAGAAAGACCGATCAAATGACTTGATAGGTGATGTGATTGGTCTCCCATTATTTTTTATTACTATATTCATTTTATTAGTGTTTTTTTTTTTTATTACACTCATTCACTCCAATAGCATAGTGCTGGCTTTAGAGTCCCAAATTCAGCAGAGAGCTAAACACCTTTGTAAATCACATCTCTCCTGTTTGTTTTTACATTTTTAAAAGAAGTAATTTGGCCAGAATAAGGCCATATAGCTACTTTTAAATGTACTCCTCAGTTTTTTTTCTTCAAGCATGGTTTAATATACTGTAAATAACTGAATATTTATACTTGTGTACCCACATGTACAGTAGACATCAAAAAACTTAAAGAGGAACTTCACCCTCCACCAAAAAAATAACAGTTCACGTGCCCTTTGCTACTATTTTTATGCTGCATAAATATATTTACAAGCCCAGCAGATACAGGGCTGTCCTCTTCTACGGCACTTCTACTCCAGGTCCCGTCCCATGCTGCCATCTTCCTCTTGTACCTGAACAAAGGGGTGGCATTTTCTTCCTGGTTTCTGCAGTGGTCCCATGATGATGCTGCACCCGCAGTGCATCTACCTGTTCTGGGATATGTGACATCGGTATTCCAGCAGGAAAAGCGACTCCAGTCCCTGGCCCTCTACTGGACTGCTTCTCTCAGTCTCCAGGCTGGACTTTCAGTTTGCTCACACACAGACTAAGGCTGGAATCATACCAGTACACACCTCCCAACTTTCTGAGGTAAGAAAGAGGGATCCCTGCCATGCCCCCAGTTTTGTGATTTAAATTTTTTTTTTATGGAAGTTAAATAGAACCTTATTGTAGATATCTGTACATCAGACCAAAAAGAGGTGCAAATGAGGAGGAAAGAGGGAGAGAGGGATTTGGTTCCAAATGAGGGACACTCCCTCCAAATGAAGGACCGTTGTGTCAGGGTACCATGCACAGGCATCCTCACACCACATGCAGGTACCCACGCAGGATGACCAAATTAATATGCCCACACAGGATAGGGTTCTATGCACAGTTTATTTGTTACCATCAAACAAAACTACTAACCCCCTCAACCCCCCACAGGTTTAGCAGAAGTAACAAGGAGGGTTAACCGGAGGGCAGCAGAGTACAGGATTTAGGAAGAATGGTCAGGTACAAGCCAGGTCGTTAACAGGAGGGCAGCACGGTACAGAAACAGGATCGAAGAAGAGTGGTCGGGTAACAAGCCGGGTCGGTGACAGGTCTGCAGCTAGGTAGCTGGGTTCAGGTAGCTGGGTTCAGGTATCAGTCGGGTTCAGGTATCAGTCGGGTTCAGGTATCAGTCGGGTTCAGGTATCAGTCGGGTGCAGGCATCAGTCAAGTGCAGGCGACGCAATACTGAGCCAGCTTCCTGACTGCAGGGAGGGCCTAAATACCCTCCCAGGAAGCACCAGGTGATGGGATGATCACTCACAGCTGGGGCACACCCGCAGGTGAGTACTGGAGCTGCAGGTTCCTTACAGTCCCTGGCTGCTGGAGACACCCGCAGGCGAGCACAGGAACTGCAGGACCTGGCTCCAGCGCCACTTGGGGGTGCTCTGGATCCTAACACGTTGGGAGGTATGCCATAGCCCAGCAAACGTGTAACAACACACCATATGCATGTTTGTGTGTTGCAGGGCCATTCATTCTGACCAAATTAAACACTAGTGTGAAATTTATCAAGGTATTTAGACCAGACAGGCCTATACACGCACCTAAACTGTTTGTGGTGATGCCTGTGTGGAAGATGACAGATGTACTTTGAGGAGAGAATCTTTAACAGCCAGGATAGGAGAGCGTCAGGCCTCAAGTTCCAATGGTGCTTCAGACAGAAGTATTGAGGGGCAGAGGGCTGTATAAGACAGTGATATGTTGTTACAATTTCTGGTAATATTTCTCATTTTTTTTTTCCATTTTTCACAGCTTGCTCCAGACGGACCGACACCGACTGTGTCTCCACATAACAGGTAAATGTGTGTTTGTAGCAGTGTGGTAGTTCTCTTGTCACATTAAGACAGAGAGAGTACCAAGTAAAAATACAATATCAAAAAGCCTTATAACAAATTTACAAATAGATGTTACTGAAAGTGACTTGGGAATATATACATTGAAAGAGACCATGTCACCAGACCAAACACTATTTGCTTTTCTGGACAATGATTCTAATAATGTATTGCAGAGATACAGATGTGAAAAATTAGAAGAATCCAACAGGCTGTGACTGGCTCTCCTGCAGCCGTTGACTGGGCAAGAAAATGAACAGCGAATGTGTGTTATAAATGCTTTAAATTTGCCAGCCTTTCGGCTTTATGAATTTGCCCCTAAACATGCTTATCTCAACAGTCATTTGGAGGAATTTTACTCACAGGTGACTACTAATGAGAACATTTACAATATAATTATTAAAATATGGATTAGCAAGCAAGTAAAAACTTGAAAGTAACAAGAAAAATTATCAAAAGAGAAAATATTACTTAACTGCACAGTAGGGGGCTGGACTGTGGCCAGTAGGAGAAGGAACTTCCCCAGCATTGGCCCTTGGTATAAGTGGGAGGAACAGTGCCCCGTCATTGGTGTCACTGTAAGGAATAGTGCCCCATTGTTGATATTAGTGGAAAGAATAGCAACCAATCATTGGTGTCATTGGAAGGAATAGTGCCCATCATTGGTGTCATTGGAAGGAATAGTGCCCCATCATTGGTGTCAATGTAAGGAATAGTGCCTTATCTTTGATATTAGTGGAAACTATAGCACCCTATCATTGGTGTCATTGGAAGGAATAGTGCCCCATTGTTGGTGTAATTGAGAGGAATAGTGCCCCATTGTTGGTGTCATTGAGAGGAATAGTGCCCCATTGTTGGTGTTAGTGGAAAGAATAGCACCCCATCGCTGGTGTCAGCGGAAAGAATAGTGCCCCACCGTTGGTGTCAGTGGGATTAATAGTTCCTCAGGGGCTGGTTAGAGGCAAACGAAGGGGCCCAGTTTGGAGACCACTGCTCTATAGTATTGCCCTTCATTTCTCCCACAGCTGGGGTTTTAAAGAGTTGAGGGGGATGCGGAGTTGGGCCAGCACAGACAGTTTTTGGACACTTCCAAATAATTTCTAGAAAAAAATAACCCAGCGAGTAAACATTTAAAATACTTGATTTTTCTATGCTTTCACCTATGACTTTTTGAAGTTTAGCACATGGTCTGTTTAGGTTTGGTCAGCAGTAAAATAACTCATAGTGCGTACTTTATATTAATTTTCATTGAATAGAAATCAAAAACAACTGATGTGTGATTTGTGGTTACAGTCATTGCTTTTTGGTCTTTACCAGATGCTAACCTCTTGGTATAATAATCATCAGTATGGTGATAGAAATGTTTCTTTTTTATTTTGGGAATGGATGGAAAAGGATGTCTAAAACCCAGCTCACGTGCTCTGTGTGCTTCAAGGAGTTTAGAAGCTTGCCAGCTCTGAATGGCCACTTGAGGTCACATGGTGGGGTGAGAACCAGCACAGGTCTCAAACAGGTAACAGTGTGTCCTAGTCCTTGTGTTTGCTTACTCCAGGTATCCTCTTCAAAGCACATGGGTTGAAGAGTACCTCAAAGGAAATCTGTCCACAAAAGTAAAATGCTTGGTATTGCAGCAGATCCCTGATTATATAAACTAACATGTTACACTGAATCTGTGAGCAGATTAACCCCTTCATGATCGGGGAGGGGATATTGCATGCCACTGTGATAGGAAATTCTTTACATGATTGTTCTCCTTTTTTTCTCATATTCAAGATGCTTGTAGACAGTGTAGCCACATGTCTATGTGATGGACAGTAAGGGGCAGGGAGACCATAGTTTTATAACAAAGCAGTACTTTTGCAGCACTGCTGTGTGACATGATCACTGTTTGTGATCACCAGCTCTATGGGGGCTTTTTTAAAGCGGAGAGTATCTTACAAAACACAGGTTGTGGTGTGGAAAGCGCAGAATCTGTTGGAGTGTTCTGAATAATGCTGCAGAGAATGCCCCATCATAAGACAAGCGAAGTCACAAAACTTCTCCATTCATTCAAGTAGATCTAACTCCTAATTACATTTTCGTTTTCTCCATGCATTGTACAAGTCCTCATGTTTATTATTTGTTTTTTTTAAATTAAATCATGTTTTTACATTTTCTTCATCTTTTTTTCCCCATCTCAGTGCTGTTGATCTCCACTCTACATGTACTAACGGCAGTGTCAGTTATACATCATTGCTCAGGTCTGGCTACCTGATGGCATACCTCCCAACTTTCTGAGCAAGAGGGACACCTTCCAGCACAATGTATTTAGGCAATAAACAAAACCTTGCCACGCCCCCAGTTATGTGGACTATATGCCCCCCAAAATTTTTTCCACCATTAATTTACTGTTATGCTGCCTTTTTTCGAAACAGTAAACAAGAGATAAGACCAAATGCCAACAAGAGATACAACTGAGGAGGGAAGAGGGACAGAGGGATTTGATGCCATATAGGGACAGTCCCTACAAATGAGGGACAGTTGGGAGGTATGTGATAGTGACCACGGTGAACCATTCCTGCGCAATATGTGTTGACAAGGCTGCTTGTTGTCTCCAACAGGGGAGCATGTGAGAGGGTGACAACGCAGGAGCACAATTAAGAGACAGGGACAAGAACTTTCATGACAGAATCACTCGGGCTTAATGACATCTGAATTTAAAATGATTGAAAACTGCTTTTGAAACTACATAAGCATGCTAAAATTTAGATGGAATTTTAATAATTGGCTTTGGATCTACTTTAAATTGAATGGGGCTTTACTTGCTTCAGAGTGCCACAACAAGCAAAGCAGGGGGCACATTTGTAAAGTGTTTTATAAATGTGCCAGTGTTTTTTAAACCAGTGGTATGGCCACAGTGAGGCCCCGATGTATCTGGTTGCTGGTAACTTTATTGCTGCTTAGACCTACACCTCTAGGTCATGCAGGGGTTAATAATTTAACATAAAATGAAATGTAATCTAAGCACTGCCATTTTGAACGTTATCTTCAGTATCTGACCACAGAGGAGTAGAAAGCTCCCTGTCCTATACAACGTTCTGCTGTGGACATCTAAAGTATATCTGTTGGTTTCTCAAACGTATTCCTGCACCTCTAACTTTGAAGCTCTAGGGCCACTTGTGAAGGTGTCTGAAGGTATTTTGTGTATTTGGTTTAACATATTTGAGGAACTGACAGGTTATACATCACATTGATGCCAAAACCACTTATTTTTCACAAATGATTACTCAACGGCAGGGTGAATTTCAGTGATAAAACTGATCACTACATGACCCCGGTCTGCTCAACATCACTATGATCTTGCTTTAGGACAGATTCACCTTGATAAACTGGCTTAATGGTCTCTTGAGTTAATAGCAATGCTTGCTTTTTGTGTGCTTGCTGTATGCTGTGTCATTATATTGTATGCTTATGTGTAGACATCGCTGTTATATAAATCTATTGGTAGTGTCTTGTTGAGCTTGTGTGTCCAGGTGTCACTATTGTTTGAAAATATGCATCTTACGTTACTTGCTAAATTTCTACATTCTGCAATTATATGAAGAATGTGGGGATTTTTTAAACATTTCTTGACATTCTGCAACATGGTGACACGATTTAATTATATTATTCAGCATATTTGTTTTAATAGGGTATAATGCCTGTGTGCTGTGAGTGTGCTTATACAGATTATTGTGTTTATTTACCTGAATATAGAGTTTCTAGGGACGGGTACTCTTCATGCTGCAACAAAGACATTTTAGAGAATTGTGCACTTCCAGCCTTGTGACAACAGTTTGGTGAAGGCCCTTTTCTATTCCAGCATGGCTGTGCTTCTGTACAAAAAGCCAGCTCCCTAAAGGCATGGTTTTATGAGTTTAGTGTTGAGGAACATGAGTGACCTGCACAGAGCCCTGACCTCAACCCTACTGAACACCTTTGGGATGAATTGGGATGCCTACTGTGAGCCAGATCTTCTTGCCCAATAACAGTACCTGACCTCACAAATGCTCATTTGGCTGAATGGGCACATATTTCCACAGACACATTCCAAAACCTTGAGCAAGCCTTCCCAGAAGAGTGAACCTCAAGCATAGATATAGCCTGAAGAGAAGGAGGGCAACTTCATATTAATGCCTATGTTTACAGGTGTCAAGGCTTTCTAGTGAATATTTACCTCTATATCAACTTGCTTTGAGTACTGTGGCACCCACTCTTACAATTCTGCTGCTTTATTGTTTCATATATACATTACGTTTTACTGAAACATGTAGCAGAGTGAATAAAAGCATATTTTTTATTGAAACGAAGATGCAAACAATCATGGTTTCTATAGTACATAATCTAGTTATGTGCAGAGGAAGTGATTCTAAAATTTTATAAAGAATACCACTATATAGATGTTCAGTGATGAGTCAGTAGGAATATGTTTCACTGCATTTTTACAGGAGAGAATTAGGAGTGTGGCAGAATGGGGGTAACTGGTAGAGAACAGTGCTCTGTGCACAAACCTATTATTTTGGCTTAGGATGTGGAGATCTTGCTATCGAGATGTATCCAGAGATGTAAGAATTTGGTTAGTTATTCAGATACTCAAAACAGCTTTGGGTGGATGTGACCTGAAGAGCTTAATTTTATCAAATGAGTAGTACAGAGGAGAATAGAGGTAGGTAAAGGATAGATGGGGACAAGAGGGAGAAAGACAGAAATCTGTAAGTTGGAGATGGTCATCATGGCAAGACCCGTCCAGTTAACAGAGTTCACCAGTATACATGGCCGTGTGCCCATTTATTCAATTGAAGCAAGGGAGGATTCTGAAGGAAATGCTAGGTCTAGAGTATGAAATGGTTTCTGTATCATTGGCATGACATGCTCAACTGCTGCTAATATTTTGGGCCTCGTGACTCACTAGTGTCTGGAAAAAATTGTCTTGTTGCCCGCAGCAAACAATCAGATTCTTCAATTTTTTCTCTCATCCTGCAAAGCCTGATTGCTGTTGGTTACAGTCTCTAGTTCCTCTTTCAGATATGTTTGGTGGCCCAGTGGTACTAATGCGGTCCTTGCATGAAGGTTTTGCTCACAAGGTTGCAGTTGGTGTGTTGAGGACAGTAGGTAACCAGGTTGAACATTTGTAATTATCTATACAGGAGGAAGGCGAGAAGTCGCAGTCTAGAGAGGCGGAGAACCTCACCCCCATCGTTATGCCTGTCTCTGTGCCTGTAAAGCTTGCGCCTCCAGAACCTATTGCACAGCCCGCTGGCAGCAGACCAGAGCAGCTCAAGGGCTGTGCATCTGATGAGGAAATGCCAATCTTAACGAGGATGACTTTTACCCCACCTTCCTCTCCAAAAGCGGTCAGCTCATGCGCCTCTTCTGTGAGTGCTTCCATCTGCCTGCTTCTTTGTGTTTTGTGTGATTTGTGTTACTATTAGACCTCTTAAGTTTTCATTTAAAAAATGCTTTAAAAATATTACAATGATCACAAAACTATGAATTGATCTTGTCCTTGATGACATCATGTTCCATATCCTGCCAGCAGACCTGTTATTTCTGCACTTCCTTTAAAGGGATCACAACGCTGATAGTTCTTCAGTGAAATTGCACAGCAGGGTTGTCTTAGATATACTTTAAGTAAGCAATAAATGAAATCTAACTCCAGCTAACACAGCAAGAGTTTTCTTTGGGATAAAAGATTTAAACCATATGAATAAAAGCTGACCATTGTAAGCACCCCTGCCAGTAGTATATGGTTTGTCCCAACCCTGTAACTTCCATTGTTGTTGGACAGAATGGCCTGTTAATGGAAGTAGAAAAACAACAGATCTATTGTCAGGATCAACAGGTAATACAACTTTGTTACCAGAGGGATGGAACTCAGAAGAACCAAAACTATGTGAACGCTTTTGACAATCTGCATCATATATGTCATTTTTTATTTTGCCCAAAGTTCCACTTTATTGCAACAGACATGCAGCAGAGCTGCTCTGGGAGCAGATCAAAATGTGTCTATTCAAAATGTGAAGAACTGTCAGAAGTCAGAAGATCCAACTACCGCTTGATTGGCATAAGCACAGCCTTTTTAGCAGATTGTGCATGTTTATGCACTTGCCCCATCTACTTAAAACAGTAGCGGTCAGATGTTAAAATTATTTTTTGATTAAAGATATTTTGGTTGATGGGGTGTCTGCACTAGTCAAGGAGTGTCTATAAAGGCACTGAGCTTACCTGCTGCATGGGGTGATTCTTATCCTATGTCTGTGGGTAGGGTTATTCACATCTTCATAGCAGAAGCCTTAAGGTGTATGTTTGGACAAAATAAAAAAATAAATATTCTGTAGGTCTGCATTAGATATACATTTTGTCTCTTTACAAATGCTGCGAGTACCTTAAAATATGTTTATCTGCCAGAAATCCAGTGAGCTAACTTCTTGCAGCGAGCTGACAACACGGTAACTCTACTGCACTTAAATCCCAAGCAGTGCTGTTAGCCCTGCCCATTTCTGCCCCTGCTGGACTACAGCACACCTTCCCATCTCCTCATAGCATAAGGGGTAGGTAGTATGTAATCCAGCACGGCAAACTTCCAGCAGGGCTGACAACACTGCGAAGTTTTCAGTGCAGCAGAGGTAGTGTTGAATAGCTGGTAAGGTCAGCTCCTTTATGAACGTTACTAGCTCAGAGTCTCAGGTATCAAAATGAAAGGACGAACCACCAATGAGATTCCCTCATTTATGTTCTTATTTACAAAGATGCGTAAAAAAGGCATGTTGAATATGATCGGTTGCTGTGGACCATATAAATGGACCTTTCTTGGGAAACGTTGATACATGAGACCTGCAGTTCTCCTGAAGTTGATTCCTCATAGGAATAACAGATCATATACTATACACTGGTCGACATTCATAAGGGAAATGTCATTTAGGATGTGAAAAATGCAATCTTGTGAATGTTGTAAACTCACATTTAGGACACGGTCAAAACAAATCATCAGTCTGGTACGAAATTGGGTAAACCAGAAGATCACACCAAACCTCACCTGGAAAGAAGGAAGTATCGCCATAGGCCTGAGCCTCTCTTCATACCACCTCCCTCCTTCAATGCAAATGTGTCTCACTCAGGAGCAACGTTGTACCAAAGCCAGCTCCGTTCTCCTCGTATCATTGGAGAGACACTGCTGGGATGCCAGGAGCTACCCACCTACACGCCACCTCCTATGCTCAGCCCAGTGCGCCAAGGGTCAGGACTTTTCAGTAGTGTCATCACAGCCGCACATAATGCCCATCTCCCACTCACACCTCTGACGCCCACTCCAAGAGTGCTGCTTTGTCGTTCTTGTAAGTATTCTGTTTTCGAATGAATTTGCATTAAAGCGGTTTTCCACTTGAATCTATAATAGGATCACTACTTCAGAGCCATCCATGACTGAAAGAACTGAAATCCAATGGATTAAGGGCCAGGGACAGTCAGGCTAGGGTCTTGAGGTCTAGATTATGATAGACTTCCTTTTGCCAGGAATATAACATGGGGATCCTGTGGTTACATTGGGTTATTGGAGGAAAAATGGACGTGGTCAGTTATGTTGAACTCTGAAATGCGTCATGCTTACCCTTGGGTTTCAATACTTTTAATTGGTGACCCAGAATAGGTACATTATGCAATAACAACTTTCCTGATCTGCTTATTTGTTCCAGGTCAGTGCATTAAAACTTTAGGCAGGCTTTTTAGAAGTAGGTCAGAAGTGACAACTCCCATATTCCTCTCATGACAGGTTTGCTTTAACATATTAGCAGCAGACAACACTGACAATAAATATTATACAGTAGGCTAGCTGTCTAGTTTAGAAGGCTCACGGAGCACTGTAGCCTTACCAGCCACCTATCCAGCCTAGCACTGTAGTTGACTTTGATTTTGTAGCTCCTGGAAAAAAGATGGTGGGCACAGGGTGGACCATCTTGTTAATTAGCCCAGTACTCCTACAGCCCCACCCCAATTACTGAAACGGCTTAGAAGCTGTAGGTGATATTTGAATGTGTTGACAATGCAGGTGTCCATCGATGTCATCATCTGTGTATAATGATATGTTTGTTTATCAGATAGCATTGATGGAACTGGTGCGACTGTAACACCTGGGCCTGGAGAACATACTGTTGATGTGGAACCGTAAGAAATACTTTACTTTTATGTGTCTGTATTTTACATTGAATTATCAAACCTGTAGTGTACTTGCTGCCTGTATGCAGTAGAAGTAGATGCATTCAGTTGAATGCAGCCTAACAGAAGAGAACTACCAGCAAGTGTATTCTGTATACTTTTGTACAAGCATAGGTAACCAACCAAGTAAGTTAATATTGATTACGAAGTTGATGATTTCACTGCCCCAAATTGCAGTATTGTATTTGTCTTAATGGGCTTAAAAGTAGAACTGTGTCCAGGGTTTGGACTACCAGATATTACAAACAGGCATTAAATAGCTTCAAAACAAGCCCTCACTTGGCTTTGTAGTTACAGGTGTTGTGGAGTAATTAATCCTCAACGTTTACAACAGAAACACACTTTTATCTAAAAAGCTCAGCTCATTCTGCTCCCCTGTCCCAGCACTGACTTGGCAGTCTTCCAACCTTCTAATCTCTAATGAATACAAAGAGGTAGCGGGGAGAGAGATGATTGCTGAAACCCAGCTTAAACAACTTAACTGCTTCTATTGTCAACTTTGAGGATGAATTGCTCTGCAATGCCTGCAGCTACAGAGGTCAGTGATAGTTTGTAAAGCTCATATACTGCTTGTTAAGAATACATAAATATTGGAATGTTCATAGCCTGGCTACAGCTCTTTAGGTAGAACCAAACACTGGACTTATGTAAGAATTGAAATATTCATTCTTAAATTATTTTTAGTTTACATTACTTTTAACTTGTAACTCACTCTGTTGTGATAGAATTATGTAAAATGCAGACTGGGGGGGTAGAGAGCTGACACCACATTTAATTCTAATTTTTGCATTTGCTTTCACACTTTTTCATAATCTGTTAGGTGGGGGGGGGGTCGTTTAGACAACTAACTGTGCCTTCTAATGTCTGACATGGAGTTATTTTGTTGTATTTTAAGGAAGATTAACATTGGATCCAGATTCCAGGCAGAGATCCCAGATCTCCAGTGGCAGTCATCACAGAAGAAGGAGACGCACAAAGCTACTCTGGTGTGGAAACCTTGGCCAGGCCTAGAGAAGGAGGAGTCCCAGCAAAGAGGTTGGTTGGAGTCAAGGCAAAGCTCTGGAAATTTGTTTTGCTAGTAAAGTGTATGCAAACCCAATTTAATCTGATAGACCTGATGGGCAGCCCTAACTAAAGGAGCTAATTGCTGCTACTGCTAATTTCGAGGCAGTTGCTTAGTATTGCCAGCTCGGCAGGATTTCCAGGTAAGAAACTTTGCTACAGATTCACATGGAAGCCACAGTTTTGTTTATCTGCTTCCTCATTCACAGAACTTCATGTATTCTGTGAACCAAGGTGTTCTTTCAATAGGCATGGAAAGAGGAGGGCAGATAAATGAAACTGTGGCTTCTGTGGGTGAGAACCACAGGCCTTAGCTGCAAGGGGCCAAACGTATAGCATGAACTATACTATCAGGCTGAAAGAAAGTGTAGACATGCTAGAATGGGCAGAATACTAGAATGGGCAGTGATCCTGGCCAAGGAACACACTTGATTAAAGCTAACTTTTTTTTACCAAACAGTAAGGACTAAAAGTCATTTGCCTGGAGTTTTGTTCGAAGAAAACTGTATACATTTACACATGATGCCAAACATACTGAAAAGCGTGTTTTGGGTTTACATACACTTTAAAGAAGAAGTAAAGTGACATTTCTTATTGTTTGCGCTAGCTGTCGCTCCACTCCCTATTGCACCGCAATTTGTGGGCATTCCTATTCTGCAGCTTTGCCATCTAATCTCTGTACCTCCTCTGCCACCTTCTTTGTACTGAAATATTTCATTGTACTGAAAGGAAAAACTGAGCCCAGGCCCAGCTGTTAGCTTTTCAGGGGAGAAAGACTACTGTAGTATCGGTCAGCTTGTGTTCTTGTGCATGACAGCGTGCTGGAGAGGAGAGGCCGTCATGCACAGAAACAAGTCCACATTAACACAAGCCAGGTACTTCTCTAGTTGCTTTCCTACAACTGAGCCTATTCTGGGGAGAAATGCTAGTAGTAGCTGGTATATGTTGTTGTAGACTGTAGACTGACGGTGCGGTTGTCTAGCACGCTGTAATTCACAACAACATAAGCTGACAGCTACAGTACTACTCTAGTCTCACTCTCCCGAGTAGCTGGTGGGTGCTTCTTGACTTAGTTTCTCCTTTCAGTACAAAGAAGGTAGCAGAAGAGGCACATGACTGCAAGATAACATGGAAAGCTGCTGCTTGGCTTGTCTATCCTGCTTGTTTAATATACATAACTTGCTTATTGTGCAGTGTGCTGATCTTTGATTAAATGTGTCTTCCTGTATAGTGGACGTGTTCCTGAGCATGTCCAGCTCCAGTGTACTGCCAGGGGGAGGAACCAATTTGGAGTATGCATTGCATTCTCTCTTTGCAGCCAATGGAAACATCATGGTAAGCCATTATTTTACTTTCTGTTGTTTGTAAGTGGATTAAAGGAGAACTATGGGGTAAGTGTTTTCCCCATAGTTCTCCTAAGGGTCACGGAAGGATATAAACTAGCGTACTTCCGTGACCCAAAGCTCAGTATATCGCGAGCTGCAGCTCGCGGTAAACTGAGATCGCCGCAGCCGGGACGGATCCCGACATTACTGCCGAGATCCACCCAGCTGCGTGAGTGACAGCTGGCTCTGCCTATCTAGCTGTCTCCGCCCCCTCCCCCGTCCGTTCCACCAGTCAGCGCTGGAGGACAAGGCAGGGTGGGAATCCCTGCAGGGAGTCGTGAGTGACAGTCACGGCTTTCTGCAGGGACATGATCGAGAAGTGAGCGAGCGACGCTATGTGTTTGCTCACTTCCCGATCTATTGAGCCGACGTGTGACAGTTTCATTGTCACAGGTCGGCTCGAACTATGAGGATGAGTGAAAATCACGCACCTCATAGCTCTCCTTTAAAATTAACCCATCAAGTTATTCAGAGCTCCTGAAGGGCTAGTCTAAGACTGCATTTCCCATGGTCAATATAATGACAATCTGAGAGCCATTATTTATCTTGCCTCAAAAGGTAAAAACACATCAGAAGCACCAAACTGAATAATGGAAACATCCAAGTAGCTTCATTGATTCATCATACGATCACAATTAACAGCCAACGTGTTTCAGGAGCTCAAAGTGCTCCCCCATTATTAGGGCTAAAAAATAAATACAAAGTAAAAAAAAAAATATATATATATAGTATGTTATGTTCAGTACTTTTTAAGTA